TTGCTTTACTATTTTTGGGTTAATCGCTGGCCTCTTGCCCCACGATTTTGGGGATGCCGCTTGCCGCTTGCCACACGATTTTAGAGGAACCGGTTTCCACACGATTTTGGGGGTGTCGCAGGTCCTACGATTTTGAGGGGACTGTCTGCTGCTTTCCGTACGATTTTGGGAAGGCCGCTTGTCGCTTGCCCCCCGATTTCGAGGGTGCCCTTACCCCACGATTTTGGAGGTGCGCTTGCTCTACTATTTTTGGATTAGTCGCTGGACGCTTGCCCCACGATTTTGGGGAGACAGCTTGTCGATTGCCTCACGGTTTTGGAGAGGCCGCTTGCCTCACGGTTTTGGGGAGATCGCTTGCCCCACGATTTTGGTGGTGCCATAGCCTCACAATTTTGACGATGCCGCTGGTCGCTTGTCCCACGATTTTGAGGCGACCGCTTGCCTCATGGTTTTGAGGCACCGGTTGCCCCACGAGTTTGATGGCTCCTTGCTTTACTGTTTTGAGGGTGCCGCTTTCCTCTTGTCCCACGATTTTTGGGGGGGACCGCTTGCCGCTTGCCCCACGATTTTGGGGGGACCGCTTCCGCTTGCCTCACGGTTTTGGGGAGACCGCTTGCCCCACGATTTTGGTGGTGCCCTTGCCTCACAATGTTCACGATGCGGATTGCCGCTTGTCCCACGATTTTAAGTGGGCCGCTTCCCTCTTGTCTCATGGTTTTGAGGGACCGGTTGCCCCACGAGTTTGATGGGTCCTTGGCTTACGATTTTGAGGGTGCCGCTTGCCGCTTGCCCCACGATTTTGTGGGTGTCAGTAAATAACCGAATGCGGTTTCTTACTGGCAACATGATTGAATGGAAAATTATCAGATTTATTTTGATGCACGAGTATAATTCGGGGGCATATTTCCCGAGTTGTAAGAGTAAATTTATGCATGTCAAGGTGACAAATGCACGTTACATCTGTAGATAACTGTAGATACAAACCTAGAGGGAAATTTTCGATACCTACTGGGCAAGTTTCACTGAAAATTTCATTTAGGTAACGGGAAGCTTTCGCTGTAATTTTGCGATAATTCCACACCTCTTATGGCATTTCTTATACAGGGTGACTTCGAAGTTGAGTCATTTATTTTAACAGTGAGTAGATCTGATCAAAAGAAATGTTTTTTTCCTTTACCATTTTTCTGGTAAAATTAAAGTAACAAAGTTATAGCCCTTTTGGAAGTTTGAGTACCGCCCTGTCTCAATAATAATATTATGTGCTCGTGTTTGGTTCATCGCATCGGAAACAAAAAAGCGAAAGAATTTGGAACGATGTTTTTACAATTATTTTAGTCAGTTGTATACAGTCAGTGTCAGTCGGTAGTGGATAGTGGTGTCTGTTGCGTGGCTCAAACGAAATAAAAAATGGCACATGTTTATGCGGATCGGTTTCCCAATCGAGTGTAACCAACCCCTCGTGCCTTTGTTAATGTAGTACAACGGGCTCGTGAATCAGGTGACTTAAGACCACACAGGGGACTGCATGCCGGTGCTCCAAGACCTCACGATCAAATACAGGTCCGCACTGAAATACTTGTCGGGAGGATACTTTATAAAACAAGGTATTTATACACACATATTTTGGTTTATCTTCCTTCTACAATCATTATCTGAAAATTAATGACTCAACTTCAAAGTCACCCTGTATATGAGGGAAATATTCGTAGTAAGTTTTCTTTTTACAATTTTCTGCCATCGAAAGGGTCTTACATTTTAGCTTTGTTATTAAGGTAACAATTTTGAAGATTGCAACTTCAATCAGACCATTATTCTTGCGTTATTTGATATTGCAAAACGATAGTTTTCGGAGAAATTAAGAATTATATGTTCAGTATGCATGACTAATCTGTCTTGTTGGGAAATCGTTTGACATTGCACATGCACACCTAACTGCCTACTGGAAATAATTGCCGTCTATACTTTTTTTTCGTTAGACCTTCTGATAGTGAAAAAATGATCTATGTAGCATAAAAAAGCCATTGTTCAATCATCTGAAATTACAGGGCTCTTGAACCGATGTTGAGCAATGTTCAAGCCAAAGAAGCCTTGAAAACCATTTCACCAGTAATATATAGAAAGTAATGTACATCTATAGACGAAGATGAAAGCAAAAGTTTTTACTGTGGTCATTCATTCAGAAACAACTGCATCAACATATGGTCTGGCATAAGGTAACCGTGTATTGGGATTGAAAATAATAGAAATCAGTGAAGTGGAACTCACTTCAGACTGATAATGAACTTACATTACTTGAATGAGATATTTATATCCTAATGAAGCATAATTATAGGAAATAATGAGGGAGTCATAGCAAATTAATCAGAATGACAATTTTTCTCACAATTGTCACAATTAATAGAAATGCCCAAAGTTGTAGTTTCTCTTGATATCACAAAGGTGTTCTTGCCTAGTCAAATAAAATATAGAAATTAGGAGTAATAATATTTAAATTCGCAAACTCGAGTAACATCTACTCATCAAACTTAATCCAGCACTCGCAACTTTCACTCATCTCATCTCTTCCCTTGTCGATGCACCGAAAGCATCTCCACCCTCCTTTTACATGCTTTCAACTTCAAAGTAGTAAAACCATAACCATAATTATAAATAAAAAACACTTGAAATGATTCTCACTCACCTGGTACCGTCTCGCCGTTGAACTTGATATCCACCCGATGCGGCAACGCCTGATGGGGAGTAAACGCCGCCCTGAACCTCTGACCGCCCAGGCTGCGCACGCTGGAGGTCACCCGGCCGCCCTCCACCAGGATCTCAAGGTCACCGCTGCCAGCGCCGCTACCGTCGACTGGTGGTATGAGGCGCAATAATTAGTATTTATATACAATCTTTGTTATTTTTATGGGATTAGGTTGGATGATATATTATTTAAACTGGATCCGCAGACCAAAAAATGGGCCAAACCCTGTTTCACAAGTGCCCTTGAGGTGAACAGCTGATCAGCAAGTGACATCTGTGTATTATCTTTTCTTAATGAATTGGGTATAACATAAATCTAGTAACACTTGCTTGTATGCAAATGAACTTTTCTAAATGAAAGAGTTGTTAGCAAGTATCGGGTTTTTCAATAGGGACTTGACAATTTTGAAGTTTCACTGTGAACGCACCTTTAGATCGATTACCGAACTGTCAATGTCAAATGTGTATCAGGTGTCATTCTACCGTAATGGACACACGTGAAAAAGACAATATAGTCGAAATCACGAAAGATGACGATTACGTGAAACGTTTAATGAACTTTCTGATATGTTAGACAGAGGCAAAGTTTGTGTATTTAGGTGGCTAACGAGATGCCGCTCAGAAAGTTTTGAGATCCAAAGTACTTATGGAGAGAGAGAGAGTGAAAAAACCGAATTTTCTAAAATTCGTTTTAATTTTTCGCTGGCTTTATTTGTAGCGTGATTTCAAAGTCAATTGAACTTTAAGGTAGTCTGTTAGATTATTTAGAAACAAAGCAGGTGTGGATGAAGCACGCTTTCCATGAAAAACTTTTCTCGAAACGTATTTTTAGCTGTTCTTTCCATCATTATTTCCACCGCCATCTATATGCCATATGACGTAGACGTCTGTGGAATGTGTATATGTCATATATGAAAGGCGCTTGCCGGCGGTGTTGCCGGATTGGGATCCGCATTTAGGGAAAAATATGAAAAGTTGAATATTTATATACATATGTATATTAATTAATGAATGACAAAAACGAAAAACTGAAACAAACAACAGTAGCAAAATAAAAGGCGATTCCTAATAAGTATAAATCAAAAAATAACAGTAGTAAGCTAAAAAATGATAAATTATAAATAATTATAGAAAACAAAAAATAAAAACAGTAGTAAAACAAAAAACATGTGATTATAAAAATCAAAGAATAACAAACAGCGGTAAAATAAAAAGCAATTCTAGGTGACGACATAAAACAAAAAGTAAAAACAGTAGTAAGACGAAGAACACTCCATCCAAATTGCTTTTTATTTTACTGTTTGTTATTTTTAGTTTTTTTATAATTAAATGGAATTGTTTTTTCGTTTTACTACTGTTTTAATTTTTTGTTTTTTATAATCACTTAGAATTGATTTTTGTTTTACTGCTGTTTATTTTTTTGTTTTATACTTAGTGAGAATCACTTTTAATTTTACTACTGTTGTTTGTTTCAGTTTTTTGTTTTTGTGTTTCATGTATATAAATTTTCCACTTTTCATATTTTTCCCTAAATACAAAGCCCAATCCGGCAACACCGCAGGCAAGCGCCTCTCATATATGACATATCCACAGACGTCAGCGTCATATGGTAGATGGCGGTAGAAATAATGGGGGAAATAACTGCTAAAAAATACAGTGTTTTGGGAAAAAATTTCATGAAAAGCGTGCTTCTTCCACACTTTTTATAATGTAAAATAATTTATCAGACTACCCTCTATAAGTTTCAAGTGAAAAAATAGTGAAAGTTCTACAAGACATAACAGTACCTGAATTTCAATACAACGTTTCGTCTCTTGACCTCCAGCATCAACTTTATTTTTTCTAATGAACGCCACATTGGATTTTTACACAGATGGAGTTTTTAAATCTGATTCCAAAAGTATAGGTTATGTCATACATGGAGATTGTCAGCACGTTTCAAAAAGAAAATGGAATTTTCTAGATAAGCATTGAAATTATCGGATAGTAACTTGTGTCGTATAGCGGATTTATTCAAAAACCGTTGGTTTATTTCCCGGCTTTATTCGAAATGGGATTTCAGAATAAATTGCATATTAGCATTGCTGCTCTTTACCCTCTACAACAGGGCGTAGTCAAATTCTCAATTGGACGTTTCCTGCTTTCGATCTCCGTTCTCATGTTTGTTCTTTCCTTATGGGCTCCCTATTCAATTTTTTTGCAATGAAATACAGTTTTTGATTCTGCATTCAGTTATTTATTAAGGGCACTATAAACTTCACATACTTAATTAAAGAAATATTTCTTCTTAACAATATTATAAAGAAAAAAAATTGGTGATGAAGACTGAAGAAACCTCGAATTGAAAATTTGACTACGCCATATTATAGAGGAAAAAAAGTGTCGACAAGTCGCAAATTATTTCAAAATCGCATCTCAAATAAATTCAGGAAAAAATAAAAACGAATTTGTGATATCTGGTATACGAAACAAATGACTATACGAGAATTTCAAGGCCTACCTAGGAAATGCTGTCTTTTTAATTACTAAGGCTGATACGTTATATATTTTTGATATAATTTCAATTTGTTTTGGAATCCCACTACAAATGAAGTAGGGAAAAAACTGATACCAATTTGGAAAATTTCTGTTTTTTCCGTCAGTCTCTGGAATGAAAGCGTTAAACTGGAAACAATTCTTTAACAGAAAATGTGTCCCATTTTTTTAAATTCTGGTATTTCATATTCCAAAAACTACAGGAATTTGGTTCAGTAGGTTTGAAGCAACGCGAAACTCATATACCGTTAGAGTATTAGATTAGAATTAAAACTGTGAATGATTTGCTTAGATCAAAAAATGGTGTATATAAGTTATAGTTAGATCATACTAGCATTAGTTGATTAAGTAATGTATTAACGATATCTTTGTGATATGGTTTGAAGCCATGAACCGTTTATGTAATGACCGCTGTAAATAAATAAAAAAACGCATTACTGCTAATTTCCCAATCTATACTGAAAATATTAACTAAGGAACTGACGCTTTAAATAAACTAAGTGACATATAAATCCGAACACCCAGTTTAAATGGTTTTATTTTAATAAAAGTTGGTGAATGTATTTATGTAACTGTAAATAACAAGTGAAAAAATTTTCAGAGTTATCAGTTGGACATTCCGGTTTTTATACTGCTTTTTTTTAATTCACTAACGCTCTAAAAATGAATATTTCAGCCGCAGTAAAGAATCAACGTTGGCGGATTTTGGTTCTTGACATCCTTTACGATCGGTTACGATGCCTAGAGTACGGAGACCTGTACGATTTCGTCAACTTAGTGAGTTTGATAGGGGCCGTATAGTGGGACTTCGGGAAGCTGGACTTTCTTTTCGGGCAATTGCAGTTAGAGTGCAAAGAAGTGTAGACACTGTGGTTAGGTGTTCAATCATGGCTTCGAGAAGGCCGTACGCAAAGAGCAAGGGGCACTGGACGCCGCCGTAGAACAACAGACCGTGAAGATCGCCGCCTAAGATTATTGGCCTTAAGGGACCGTTTCTCCACTACCAGGTCCATTGCAAATGAATGGTTTGCAGAACACGGAAGGCCTATTGGCATGCGAAGTGTTTACCGACGAATGAGAAGTTTTGGCTTGTTTTCATACCGGCCACACTGGGTCCTCCCTTTAACTCGAGAACACCGACGTAATCGCCTTGAGTGGTGCAGACAACGGTCACTCTGGTATCAGGAATGGAACAGTATTGTCTTTAGTGACGAGTCTCGATTTTGTTTAGGCATGCACGATGGTCGTGCCAGGGTTAGAAGGCGACGTGGTGAAAAGAGGAATCCACAGTTTTTTGTTGAAAGGCATGTTACGTACTTATACAAAATTTTATTAAAATAAAACCATTTAAACTGGGTGTTCGGATTTATATGTCACTTAGTACATTTATAACAAAAAAGCAGAAGCTTCAGTTATGCATTCGTCCTCATATAATGAATTATACATTATGTATAATGACCGATCATCAGGGGTACTATGTAAAAAACCTAAAAAACGACAAAACGTCATCTTGCAGACTAGGCAGTTTTTAGTCTGCAAATTCCATGTTTGCTCGCTATGATCGCTGTGAGCGCCGTCAAGAGCGTCCATCTATGGACGAATGATTCAACGACCCGGCAAGCTCAGGCATGCATTGTCGGTTGCAGAAAGCCAAGTAGTGTTTATCTCTGAGGAGATGTGAAATAAAGTTAGTTAAGTGGAAAGATCGCATTTGGATGATTATGTGTAATGGTCTGCATATGTATAAAATCAGTGAGAAAATTATCACTGAATACGCTGCCAACGAAGTATTCTATTAGCTGTGCCCAAATTATATGTTGTTCTTTCTGAAGACAGGTTATATTCAACGTTATAAATTACGATTTTTCCCGGTTTTTTTTTTGGTTTCAAAAACTTTTAAATCCCAAAAACGTACTTATACTCCCCTTGTGTTGAAAACATACGAACTTTATTCTGGAATTAAAGTTGGCGACCTTGATTAACTATGGGCCGCTCATATACAGAGTGTCCGCAAAGTTGGGGTTTTCCTTTTCAGAAACAACTACCCTTGAAATAACAAAGGTAATGTGTAGTGAAACGAGGGCGACCAAGTAAAAAAAAAATAAAGGAGAAAGTACTCACTCTCCAGTTGACGAGGAGGGCTAAGTACGTCTCTGCCCGAAATCAGACCGCTCCAACAGAAAATGAAATCAGCTGATGCGCTACCGAGCAGACGCAGGCAAACAAGGAAGGCAAAATGTTGCGTAATGACCAAACATGAGTGTTGCGAAAGTTATTCACCCCATTACGCGTGAACGTAGATTCGTCTGTCACCAATATGCACTTCAAAAAGTCCGGATTATTGTCATGTTGATGCAACAACCACTCACAAAACCGCACTCTTGCTGGAAAATCGTCAGGTTGAAGGGCTTGTACACGTTGGACGTGAAACGGATACAGCCCCTCTTCACGCAGTGTTTGCCACACTTTAGTTTTTGATACTTGCACTTCTCTAGCCACGTCTCTAGTGCTTGTTGAGGGATTCTCGTCTACGCGATTACCTCTACACGCGTGACCGTAACCGTCGGTTGAAGGTTGCGTACTGACCTGACACACTGACCCCGACCCAGTTCTGTCGTCGGGTTGAGCTAGTGTCCTAGTACCACTCGGGGATGTCGCGAGTCGCGGCTACAGGACGGTATTCAGATATTTTTGATGTTGCAGAGCCCTTTATCTCGGTTCCCTTAAGACATTGGTGTATATGGTACTAAGAAAAATTGCTTATGTTTTCAAGATCTACACGTGTAAAGGAAAACCCCAACTTTGCGGACACCCTGTATATTGTAAGACTTGTGTAACGTTGTTAACAGATTGATTAAGAGGCGACAATCGTAAAATGTCCTTTGCGGTACCAATGGATTGGAGAGAACCGAGGGCCGTACTATTGATTGCTATTTTGCCTCACAAATATTAAATGTATTGGACCAAAATCGAAACATACTGTTGAGTATTTTAATTTACCATCAGCTTTGCGGCCCGTTAAGCATAGTGATGAACTTTCCGTCCCAGCTCCACCAGAACCTTGGTCTTTGGATGAAAAAGTCGAATCCACCGATTCTGAAAGTGATGGTACAGAAAACGACCCTTCGTTTGACCTGCCAGGATGTTCAACAGCGCCGCATTTGATCACACAAGGCGAACTTAATGACTTAGCTCGAGAATTAAATCAGTCAAAATCCCAGTCAGAACTTTTAACGTCAAGTTTTAAAGGATGGAACCTTGTTTTGCCCATGTCATAAAAAATTATTTTAATTTTGTTCACCACTGTCATACACGTATGTAAGCCAAAAGGGCATCATATGTAACATAATGTATACAAATTGAAATTGAATGACGATCGAAAAGATCCTAGCTGTACGAACTTGTATACAGTATATTCAGATAAAAGATAGACCGGATGTAAACAAAAGGTTCGGGTGATTTTCACGCTAACGCCGCCGTCTCGACGTAAAACAGGAGCCCTCATTGGTCAATTCGCAATTAAATGCCTATGCCGAGCGGCAGAGCAGTCGTATCAAGGCAGAGTCACATTCAGGTTCAGACGTGTTACGTATGTCGTGTGCATCATTGCAATTTGATATTTCTTTGGACGTTTTCGTTTGTTATCTTATTAAGTTGTTGAGTTTGTCGTTGTTATTGTTATACCTTGTTATTGATTGTTATTGTTATCAACTGCTTGCGCAAAATGCCCAGTAGTACAGATACTGCCGATGAAGTTGTAAACTCCTGTAGTCCACCTAGGAAACGCTCTAAAAAAAGACACCTGAGTGCAGAAATGAAAGAGGTCATTTTGAATATATATAAGGAGAGGAGAACGAGGCATCAACCATCAAAGAAATTGTTGTGAAGGTTTCTCACAAAGTTGGGGTGTGTCGCGCATCAGTGTTTAATGTGTTAAGACAATACAAAAAAAATCACACCTTTTCTGAGCCAATGACCAGTAAACATCGCAAAAGTATTGTTAAATCATTGGATGAAGCTGATAAGCATGCGATTAGGAGGAAAGTGCATGAATTCTTCTTTAGGAATGAAATACCTACTATAGATAAAGTACTGCAGGAGGTAAATGGAGATACAACGTTGAAAAATTTCAAACGATCAACTTTCCATGCGTTACTGAAGCATTTAAATTTCAAATGGAAAAAACGGGGTCGTAATAGTTTACTACTGGATAGAGAAGAAATTGTGCTATGGAGGAGGGATTATTTAACAAAAATTGGGAAATATAGAAATCAAAACAGGAAGATTTATTACCTTGATGAAACGTGGGTAAACGCAGGACACACTACAAGTAAAGTATGGGTTGATGATTCTGTAACTTCATCCAGGAGGGCCTTTCTAGATGGACTGTCCACCGGATTAAAAAATCCAGCAGGTAAATACGAGTAATAGACAACAATCGGATGTTTTTCAAACCTTGGGAACAAGGTTCTAAACATTAATTCCAGGGGGCAGATAAAACATATTACAAGTAACAAAACTTTTATAACTTTCGATAAAATGCGTGGATGTTTTATTGTCATTTTCATTTGTTAGAACTTTTTTAAGCCATGTTTTTATGTGTTTTCGATATTTCAATAATTTTTTAATATAATCTTAAAATATGTCGAATATTATAAACTTAAAAAAGTTACTAAGTTTTATATTGTGTACCGTTCCTAATATTTCTAATCATATTAATTCATACTTTAAGCTTTATAAAGTTATAATTTGTTAATATTAATATTTGCGCGTATTTCAGGTTCCTGATCATTCATTTTTTAAAGGTTTATAACTTTAAATTAAATTGTGAAGCGCTGAGTAATCATACGACGTTCAATATTCTTTCTTTCAATATGACTAAATAATCCCAATTATAGCAATCTGATACTCATGTCTTAATGTTTTTTCGCTGAATGTGATGAAAACATTTGAAAAAGGTTCGCTTATTGAAATAAATCTACACCAGTTAGTACTTCGATTTCCAGGTAAAGGGAAAAGGCTCATTATCTGCCATATTGGCAGTGAGGATGGATTTGTTGTTGACGGTCTGTGGTGCTTTGAGTCTAAGAAAACTGGAAATTACCACGAGGAAATGAATGGCGAATCGTTTGAACAGTGGTTTTCAAAAATTTTACCGAACTTAGAGGAAAACGCAGTAATTGTGTTGGATAATGCGCCTGATCATTCTCGAAGAATGGAGAAGGTCCCAACAACGGCTTCAAGGAAAGTTGATGTTCAAAATTAGCTCCGCTCGAAAAATATCAACTTTGAAGAAGCAATGCTGAAAGTACAATTATTAAGAATTGTCAAGGATCACAAGGCGGAATATCAAAAATACGCCATTGACGAAATGGCAGCAAGTCAAAATAAAACTGTTCTCCGTTTACCTCCATACCATTGCGAGCTCAATCCCATTGAGCTCATATGGGCAGAGGTTAAAAATTATATAGCTAAGCACAATACAACTTTTAAATTTTGTGACCTCAAAGGACTTTTCAAAGAAGCACTAGAATTAATAACAGCGCAAAAATGGGAAAACTGTATTAAGCACGTGAAAGACAAAGTTGAAAAGAGAATGTGGGAACTGGACAATATTTTAGAGGAACAAGTCGAGCCATTCATTATTGACGTTGGTGCTTCAGGCAGTAGCGATGATGAAAGCTCATCAAGCTCATCTTTCCAATAAAAGATGTCGTTCATCAAATTCGGTAAGTTATAAGTAATTATAAAGCTACTGTATTTTTTAATTAATTATTGACATTTTTGAACCCATTTCGGCAAAACCTATTCAAGAATCTACTTTCTGACAATGTTCAACCATGCACATTTTTTTACGTTTTGAACGTTTTAATTTGGTTACATATTTACCTAGAAATCAAAAAATATACTAATCAATATTCTAAAAGCAATTTTAAGAGATATACGATTATTTTTAATTTAGGCTAATTTAAACGCCATTTTGAGATTATATTCGACTGTATTTCACCAAATATCAGGCGGCATCCGAAGCTGGAAATCGAAGCGATAATTTTGAAACCCTTATGTATATTTACATCATTATATATTTCTTACCCCACCCCCACATGATCCTATATCCATCACCAATCGTATACACATCGAATTGTGCTAATTTACTACAAAGTTACGCAAAGCAGCATCTACTATCTAAAATATGTACTGCGTGACTCTTAATACGTCCCTGCCGAATGTTACAGCGTTCGATGATCACGTGGTCTTGTTTATGTCCGGTCTATCTCTTATCTGAATATACTGTAGTCACTTCGTATTACGGCCGATCATCCGCCGCAGTGGGCGTGGCCAGCGGGAGGCGGGTTTCTTTCAAAATTTACAACAAATAGCAATGATAGCTCGAAAACCGTGTACGCGAAAAAGTTGTATTTTTAGCAGTGCTTTGTACTGCTCAGTTTCTAGGTCTTGAGTTTTTTTTTTGAGAAATCAGTTTGCTTTTTTGGATAAAACAAAAGTCTTTGGAAAAAAAAATGTCAAGAAAAACAGTAATATCTCAAGGTAATCTTAATGCGGAATACTGCCATACAATTTTAGAGCTACACAACTTCCACAAACAACGGTGGCTGAAAAAATAGACAACAAAATGCATTTTTTTATACAAAAAACTGCTAATATTGCTTATTAATCATCGCTTTATACAGCATGAAGATATCAGACGAAAATAATTGAAAATACTCCTTCAAATAGGCTGTTGAAAAAAGGGACCTAGGGCCTTAACGCAGAGCACGTGCGCGAGTTCTTGGCGATAATATCAATTGTATACGTTAAGATCACCTAAAATTTTGGAAATTTGAAGCAACCTGAGCGTTCCAAAATTAATGCAACCATACTTTGGAACGTTTTTCCCGGCATTGCAACATTTCCATTATATCTCTAAATTGCCGGCTGTTGCTCAAAATAGATAATAAAAGGACGGATTGCAATCTACAATTCCCAAACAACTAAACTGAATCCAAATTCAAGATGAGATATAAAAAATAACAGTTAGCGCGTGATCTCCCGATAACAGGTGGAGACAACGCCTCTTATTGGTCAATCCGCCATTAAATTTCCAGCGGTCGCCTGGCGGAATGATGCGCGGGGCAGGGGCAGGGCAGGCGGAGTTGCACTCAGGCCACCGTCCGTCGCGTGTATCACTGCGTGCTCGTGTTTTCGTATTCACCTTGCTTGGTTGTTGCTGTTGTTAAGTGTATTTGAGTAATTTGTTAAGTTTCTGTTAAATACTGTCATCTTTGTTTTGCAACACGTTGGTAGGTAGAGGTAGAAAACAATATACTTACTTTCGAATTCAACCGGCTGTCCAAGAATTCCGTCCGGCACCGGTTGGACCCTGATAGCTGAAGCACCTCCGTTGCTACTTTTCGAGACAGACTTATACACTGGCGAGCTTCTTCCATACGAGTCCGAAGCATACTTCTGGCTGTAGTTTGATTTGTACGAAGACTCGTTTCTGTAGGACTGTTCGTTTGTTACAAACCTGGAAGTAAAGGATTTTGTTTACTTTCAGCCCGGAATCAAACTCATGACCTGGCAGACTTTAGGTAGATGCCTCGATAATTTAGTCATAGTTATCTAACAGAAGGCAGTTTGTTTCATATCATGGTTATGAAGATGCTTGTATATTGGGAGTGCCGCAGGGATCAAATCGTGGCCCATTGCTTTACACATTATTTATAAATGACTTGGGTGACGCTCTTAATTGTAAACAAAGTTCTTTAGGCTATCGATTCGAAAATTTTCCAATCTATTACAAGTAAGGACTGTCATACCTTACAGATAATATTCAGACTTAGTGTCAAGTAAGCAAACTTTATATTCAAATGCAAGAAAGTGTATATATAATAATGGTTAATGCTGCATCAAGGGCGTTTGGATTCATAGTGAGAAACTTTCACTAATGTTAGGGCACTTACAACAATGTATTTGACTTTTGTCTCAAAATTAATATATGCATCAATTATTTGGTAACACCATTACTCCAAACATAAAAAAGAAATTAAGAAAGTGCAACGACGTCTTTTGAAACTACTCGCTAAGACCTTTTTGGCGGTTCAAGCATAAACAAAAGGTACTCATCCGTGAAAATTTTCATTCAATTTCTGCTGTATGTGATACAAATTATGACAGTTCTATATCTCAAAAATACTGAATTGCGGTCGTTTGTACTTGAACAGAAAAATCACGTATACTTTATCTGAAGTCACTTGAAATACCGGGTGCGTTTTATATATCTATATTTAACACGATCTGTTGCTGCAAAAATCGCCAAATTTCGCAGCAAATATCCCCCGTATAAGATCAAAGGCAGTTTCACCGGTCCACGTGGAGTAAAGCACGCCTATGCGTGGACATAGCCAATGAGAAAGCGTGTATTTCAGAGCTCCGAACAAGTGCAGGTGGCTACTGAAAATTGAAACAGTTTAGCCAGTGCCGTGTAGCGGTGAATAAACGTGTTTTCTTTAGTCTGTCCGTGTTTTTTCATAGATTTTATCAGTTTGTGTGTTTTTGGCTTTTGAATACTCAGTTTACTTGTTGATTTAATTGTTGTGTTGATTGTTCTTGTGTGTCCTAAATATGGCTCTTTGGAGACCTTGGGAAAATGCTCCAAGCCACGAGGAGATGGTTGATGAACCTGTGCAGGCAGAATTCTTTCATAAAGATTTAGAGGAACAGACCCAAAGAGTAATCCTAAATATGTATGATTGTCTGAAAAACGAAAATCCAGATTCCTCGCAAAATCAAATTTTAAACAGGAATTTGTATCCTGACAAAAATCAGTCGGTCTACCATTTATCGGGTTATACAAAGGGGAGATGTAGTCAACCATTCGTTCCACAGAAAGCGCATAGGGCAAAAATTAAAAAGAATAGACGTGGGTTTTCAGGAAGATATTCGTCGTATAATATACGGATTTTATAAAGAAAATTTAGTGCCCACGTTGGAAATGATACGGGATAAATTAAAAGATTATCCTGAAGATTTTTATAATTACAAATGCTTAGACTCACTGCACTGTATTGTAAAACTGTGTGGTTTTCAATACAAAAAATTAGATAAAAGAATGGTGATTATGGAGTCGTCTCGAATCGTTGAATTGCGCCAAGAATTTTTGCACAAAGTTAAAATCTATAGAGAGCAGAAAAGAAATCTGATTTACCTGGATGAAACGTGGTATGATACCATGATGTTGTGCAGTACGGCTGGGTTGACGACAGCAACAAGTGCATTTTAAATGCACCATGCGACCATGGAAAACGAAACATTATTCTCCATGCTGGCAGTGAAAATGGATTTATACCTAATGCCTTGCTGTTATCTGCCAAAAATATCAAAGAATCATGTGCCGACTATCATGAGGACATGACCTCCGACTTATTTGAAAAGTGGATAGAGCAGCAGTTAATACCAAACATTTCCCCAAATTCAGTGATTATTATGGACAATGCGCCATACCATTCCCGACAGAAAAACAAAATTCCGAATACAGGCACAAAAAAACAAGACATTATTGATTTTATGAAGGATAAGGGAATGGAAATACCACAAAAACCAACCAAAGCCATATTATTGGATCTTATTAAAAGACAAAAATTTGAAAAAGAGTATGTTGTTGACAATCTGCTTCAGCAAAATGGCCATGAAGTATTAAGTCTACCTCCCTATTACTGCATTTTTAACCCGATTGAGTTGGTCTGGGCTGCTTTAAAAAAAAGTAAGAAAACATAATCAGACCCCTCAATTAAGTGAATCGCTATTGGCCACAATAAGAGATGCAGTATCTCATATTGCTGCCACAGACCTATGGAAGCAGTGTTCTAGGCATATTATTGAAAAAGAAAATGAATATTGTGTTTTGCCTCCTGTAAATCCCGTTGTAATTCCTCTACAAGATGACTCTAGCGACAGCTCCGAAGGCGAGGATGATATATAAATACCTATAATGTAAGTCTTTATATACCTTTTTATATACCTACCTGCTATGTAAATATTTGCCTATGTCAAACGTTGGAATTTTTCCATTTCTTAACTTTCAGTCAACATAAGTTAAACTCCCAATATAAGTATTTTTTATCCCAAATCAAAAAAATAAGAAGATAGTAAAATCCATTTATTGTGATATAAAAACATTATTATTATCGTTCTAAATAAATGACCGCACGCCTATGATACGTCATGAAATTACAAAGGACGCGCCGACCAAAGGTTTTTATGCTATTTCAAGTGACTTCAGATAAGGTATACATGAGTTATTGTTTTCTTAATATGGTATACCTCTTACAAATCGGAATCGATGACGAAATAGGTATGAATTTTTCTAAAATGGTATACAAGTAGTTGTGCAATCCTTATAGTCGGTCATATATTCTCTGTCGCATCTTTATCCAAAACCAAGCTCTATACAGGGTGTCACACCTAAATATTTCAAATCGGTATTGAAAAGAGCAGGAAATCTTAAGTCCGAATAACACTTTGGCCATGACCTTGACCATGGCTTTCAAGGCCATTTCAAAGTCAAATCAATACACAGACAATAATTTGCTCTAGAAAAAATGCTCGACAGCACATTTGTGTAGTTTAAACCTATAAATCGTAGAAAAAACCTATAAAATGTCATCTTGCAGACTAGGTAGTTTTTAGGGTGCAAACAGTCATTTCATGTTTCCTCACTAGGATCATTGTGAGCGTCCATCTATGGAGGAATGACTTAACTACACGCATTGTTGGTTGCATATGTTTTGTGAAGCCGAGAAGTCTATAGTTTTCACCTCTGAGAAGAAAGTTGGTTGAATAGCAAGATCGCATCTGGATGATTGTGTGTATTGGTCTGCATGTGTATAAAATCGGGCTATTTATATGTTGTCCTTATGTTCAAAGTTATAAATTACGTTTTTTATGTTTTCAAAAACTTTGAAAAGAATTATGGGAAGTCACACATACTGTGCATTGCCGTTACCTCCAGTGATACCATTTCTGAAGCAGATTTTACATCATGTCGTTTAGGCAACACGTACGACTACAAATCAAGTTCACAACGTGTCCATCAACTAGTGCTACGTTGACATCTTGTAGAAAAACATACACAATGTCACAAAAACAATATAATATCAAAAAAAATCGACATAATGTCACTTTTCAAGGTACGTAGCACCCGTGCAGGACCTTCAAGATCAAGTCAAAATTATCAAAGACCAAGGTTACATTTGGGTGATCCTCACAAACCTCACAACTGTGCTTGCTAGAGGTCTTGATTACACCTTGAAACAGCCTTAAAGGATATGTTCAAGACCACGGTGATGATCAAATTCGGTTATAAAGTTGCTTCCTCTTTTCAATTTTGATGTAAAAAAAATGAATTCGATTTGTAAATATGCACTTGACCCTGAAATGACAAAGGTCGTGATCAAGGACACTGTTAAGATCACCAACGTGTTGCTTCCTCGAATATTTTCTTTTGTTTGAAGTATTTAGAGACGAGACACGCTGAATAGTATCCTACAAGCTTGCAGCCCACAAAACATGCTAACGAAATGCGGGTTGCAGAATTTCAGGCAAATATCAGTAAAACGACCGTTGCGCCATTCCTCCACGGTTCACGGTTAGTGAGTTCGTGCGAATGTTGCGATAGAAAGTTTTCCGAATTTAAGCTTCGCATTTTTTTACACCGAAGCAGCCGCACAGGCAGAAGCCTAAGCGCCGGGACACCGCGGCTGCTATAAAGAGCTTAAATAAGCTTTCTTAAGTCGATTTCTGAACTGCCCAAGATTAATAGAACAGGGAAAAAAATCCTCATCTCGATACAAAGGAGCGATCGTATCGGCCAGTTGTGGATGTACGAAGTTCGACACGGTTAGGATGGAAGGCTGAAATCTGGCAGACGTCATGGGGGAAAGCGAGTTTCTAATATACATACCGTGAATGTTCCTCAGCCTTTTTCCTCCGCAGTTCAGAGTCCAACTGAGACTCAGTAAGGTTGGCTACGCTCTCCAAGCTTCTTTCAGATAGAATATTTCTAGTTTTGTTTATGGCATCCCACGAGTCCCTCCTGCCAGCTGCATTGTCCGACATAGACGACACTTTTATGATGGGACTTGTGTCTACGCCTCCACCGTCGTTGAAATGGTTGTAAGATCGAGATTCCGTCCTTTTTTCGTATCGGGATGTTGAGTAGTTGCCCACTTCTGGGCTTGATCTGAAAAATTCAAGGGAAGCGCACATAAGGATAGGAACGATCGATGTTTTTGAATTTTCTTAATCTTTTGCTTCTCACACCTGCTGACGAGGAGGTATTGTAATCGCAAAGAAAATCGAAAATGGGGTAATTTTGGGGTTGTGGCTTGGGCGCCACCTAGGAAAAGAAATAACAAGTAAGCAATGTTGGGTCGCTGGCGCTAAAGGAGATACAAAGTCGCGAGGTACACAAGCATTTATTGGACAAAAGAAACAAAAACAAATTTAAAAGGTCAGGAAGTCTCAGATGCCCGAAGGTAGAACCCTCGTACAATGAGGGTTCACAGATATGGGGGACTGCTCCTCACAGGCATGATACGTTGACCTTAAATTCACAGAGCTCGAACAGAAAAAATCAGTAAGGGAGGCCGATTTCCATCAAAATCCCCACAACCCAATAAACCGCAGCACTGGTCGTGAAATTACTTCACAACCGCGGGTTGTGGGCCGTCGAACTCCTACACGAGATTTTCTCAGAGGGTGTAACTTGTGCTGATCATAATCCTTTATGAGCTGGTAACAGCCATTTTTTACATCGCAAAAGACGTACTCGTATAGGAATAGTAAAAATCGCGGTTACAGTAGAAATCTTTTCTTGGAATTCGGTGACGTGGCGGTCGGGTCAGAAAAATTAGAGTCCCTAAACTTTGTACAAATATTTGTCTCTTCTTTCTTTCAGCCTGATTAAAAAAACATTTAATGTGGTCACACCTCCGAAATACTACTATACAGGGTGACTTCGAAGTTGAGTCATTTATTTTAACAGTGAGTAGATCTGATTAAAAGAAATGTTTTTTTCCTTTAACATTTTTCTGGTAAAATTAAAGTAACAAAGTTATAGCCCATTAGAAGTCTGAGTACCGCCCTGTCTCAATAATAATATTATGTGCTCGTGTTTGGCAACAACGGATATAATCCGCCTTATCCGTTCATCGCATCGGAAACAAAAAAGCGAAAGAATTTGAAACGATGTTTTTACTACAATGTACAATTTTATTCAGTTGTTTTCAGTCGATGTGTCAGTCGGTAACGCGTGAGTGAATAGTGGTGTTTGTTGCGTGGCTCAAACGAAATAAAAAATGCACATGTTTAAGAAAATGCTAAACATGTGGACATGATTCTTATTTACGGGGGGGAGTCTTTATGCGGATCGGTTTCCCAATCGAGTGCAACCAACCCCTCGTGCCGTTAATGTAGTACAAAGGGCTCGTGAATCAGGTGACTTAAGACCTCACAGGGGGCGGCATGCCGGTGCTCCAAGACCTCACGATCAAATACAGGTCCGCACTGAAATACTTGTCGGGAGGATACTTTATAAAACAAGGTAAATTTTTTTTTTAATTTTTTTTTTATTTTTACACACATATTTTGGTTTATCTTCCTTCTACAATCATTATCTGAAAATTAATTACTCAACACCCTGTATATAAATAATTGATTGCAGCTTCCCTATTGAAAAAAAAAATAAAATATACGTGTAAAAGCTTCAGTCTAGGTACTAACCTTTCCATAAACACTGGGCTTCTGCTGTCCGATATTCTCATTGAGGACATTTTACTGGTGTAATTTGAATCATATTCATTTTTCTTGGTGAAACTTGGACTGGGGCTGGTGTCGAAGCGTTTTTCGTTCAATTTTCTGCTAGTTATGTAGTCTGGACTGTCTCTTCCTTGACTAGGACTTGGGTTATAGCTGGGACTCCCATTTCTATAGGGACTAGGTGGCCTACAACAACAAAAAATAATATTGAGATGCAGATGCTGTAAGATGAATAAATGACAGTTTGTTGCTTGCCAAGCTAAGGTACTGTAGCTTCGATCAAAAAGCGAATAGTTTTTTCAGAAGTTAGATGTATTTCTTTAAACATATCCAAAGCATCAAACCTTCAGAAAATTACGTCTGGTGTACCCCAAGGATCGATCTGTGAGCCGCTACTTTTTCCTTTATACATTGCTGACTTGCCAAGAAATGTCAACAACTATACTACAACTATTTGAAACTGTAATGACTCATACGCGTGATCAACACGTGATCAGAGCTCGATCCCGGCTTCCTTCCAGTACAGCCGTATAGCGTACGACATATGTCGTTTTTGTGGCTTTGCGGTGGTCAACAGCACAGACAGAGATGGAAATAATGGCTGATTGTTCTCCGCCGGTAGAACCAATGAAATCAAAGACGCGCCTCGACCGGCAGACTCATAGGCGCCGGCAACGCATTGGAACGTGTTTCGTTGAGCGATCGCATATTGTGTGTTTTTATAAGAATTGTTGTGTTATTGTTATTGTTGTGGTTTCTGTGGTTACTGTTTTGGTTATACTTAACCATGGAGAGTACAAATGGCACGAGTGGAAGTACTGAAAGCCAGGGTACAAGTAAAGCACTGAAGAGGGACGCGAAAGAAATCGTGCTCAACGTGTTCAATTATCTGAACAGAACTATGTCGCAGGGAGATGCACTCGTTCGCAGGGTGGTGCATGAAAAGAAGAAAACTGGAGCTACTACTGATCCAAAGTTTAATTTGAAGGGACGAAAGGCCGTTAAATTGGATGACGATAGCAAAATGGCGTTAAGGCGAACCGTACATTCATTCTTCTTTAGGAATGAGATACCAACCCTCAAGGCTGTACATGCAGCGATCAAGGAAAATGAAATTATACCCCAAATGAGCGTCGAGGTAATGAGGAAATCCCTGCACGAAATTAATTTTCGTTACGAAACGCGTAATCGGAAGTCAGTATTGATAGAGAGACCTGAAATAGTCGCCTGGCGTCGAAAATTCCTACGCGAAATGATTGAATATGGGCGACAAAGCAGAAAAATCTATTATTTGGACGAGACATGGGTAAATGCAGGTCACACAGTTAAAAAACCTGGATAGACAAAAACGTAGTGAGTAACCGACAAGCAAGCATTGAAGGTTTGTCAACAGGTCTTCGTGGACCGTCAGGAAAAGGTCAAAGATTGATCGTAACTCATATTGGTAGCGATAGTGGCTTTTTAGAAGAGTGTGACTTGATTTTCGTCTCTAAGAAAGGATGTGATTACCATGACGAAATGAATGCCAGCTGCTTCGAGAGCTGGTTTCAAGGGGTGCTTCAGCGTGTTGAGCCCAACTCTGTGATCGTCATGGATAATGCTTCCTACCATAGTCGTCGAGCCGAACGTGTACCGACTATGGGATCTCGAAAAAGTGACATGCAGCAATGGTTGCGCGAAAAAGGAATCCCGTTTGACGATTCATGTGTGAAAACGGAATTGTATGAAAAAATTAAACAGCACAAACCTGCGAACATTAGTTACGTGACTGATGAGATGGCCCGTCAATGTGGTGTCACTGTGCTGCGGTTACCGCCCTACCACTGTGAACTGAACCCAATAGAGCTCATCTGGGCTCAAGTGAAGGGTTATATTGCGCGCCATAACACAACCTTCAAATTACCAGACGTTAAGGTTTTACTTGAGACTTCCATACAGCTAGTAACGCCCGAAGCTTGGCAGAATGCTATCCGTCATGTTGTGAAGGAAGAAACAAAAATGTGGCAGCTTGACCACCACATCGACACCATCATAGAGCCAGTTATAGTCAATTTCAACGAGGAAAGCGATAGCGACAGTTTATTACTGTCAGATGTAAGTGGAAGCGACGATGAATAAAGGTAATTCCCAAATTTTTGACTTACAATATGTTTCAAACCACTCTTTATTAAGCATGTGACAAATCTAGTTAGTATAGTATAGGAGACACAATCCTTTGCCGATGATACGCAGCTGCTTCATTACTTTGATGTAGATAATATCGACGACGCTCAAACTAATTTAAACTCTGCTATTGAAAAGCTCTGTCAATTTTGAAAACCGCACAATCTTGCCTTAAATGCACCAAAGTCCAATGCAATGGAATTGGCTCTGAGCCTAGGAGGTAGGCTGTTGTATCATTGTTAGCGGTAAAGATTGTTACAGAAAAGATGTACATATTGCAATACGTGTACAAAAATATTAGGAGTTACTATCGACCACAGGCGTAGGTTCATAGACCACGTAAAGATAATACCTGCAACTCCGCGCTTTATTAGGGAAGATATCAAAGATTTATTTTTTATTTGCCATATGCATTAATTATTCTATCTTTTTTTAAGAGTGCAACAATTCATAATTTCCATTCCATTTATGTCATATACAGGTAAGTTACCTGGGACTTTTTTTTCTTCTCATGACATTGTACTATACCTGAACTTTGACCCTGGCGTTAGATCTGAATATACTTGCATGTACTTTATCATTACTATTTATTTTGAAAACATAAAAAAAATTGAGAGGTTTGGCTACCTGTAACGGATTCCAGAGATATGAGCTCAAATCCAACCAACATCCCTTTGTTTTTTTATTATATTATTCCATTCTTTATGATAAATAATCTGAATAATGTTAATCGCTCATTTATACCAAGACATACCTGTTAAATGGACTAGTTGCTCGATAACTTGGACTATGGCGATCGTTGTAGCTTGGTGAATTTGAGGTCATCCTTTTTTCAGATACTGCCTTCATGTGATAGTCTTGGGCGAACTTGTGGGTTTCGTCCGCAAACGATGGGCTGGCACTTTGTCTACTATAGCTAGATAAAAAGAAACGGAAACGTAAATTACAGGTCGGGTGGTTCTCATGCGGTTGGAATTCTTATTATGTCAAAAAACGCTAGTTGGTATTTTTCAGTGGAAAAATAGTCTAATGTTCCTGAGCTGCAGAGCCCGATTTCAGAGCACACTTTTTGTTCTTTAAATATTTCAAACAGATGGGGGCTGAAAAATTGGAAATGCACATATAAAGAGGAGACTCAAACCTCAGTGGCCATGCCTTTATGGAAAACGTGCTGAAATCTGATTCAAAATAGTCCAGGAGTACTAGACATGTTCTGAAGAAAAATTGCATCTGAAATTTTTTATTACTGTTTATTTCCAGAACTGCGTTTTGTATAATACAGAAACATAAATTATAGGTCGGATTATCTTCATGCGGTTGGAGTTCTTATTGTTGTTATGCTTCTTCTGTCGAAAAACGCCAGTTGAGATTTTTCGGCAGAAAAATAGTCTAATATTCCTGGGCTATTCCGGAGCGGAATTTTGAATGCATGCCGCGAAGATAATAATAGTGAGGCAATTTTTGTTCATACCAAATTGCACAGTCCGATATCAGAGCACATTTTTTTGTTGTTTAAAAATTTCAAACATTTGAGAGCTGAAAAATTGGAAATTCACATATAAAAAGAAGACTCAAACCAAAGTGACCATGCCTCTATGGCAAACGTGCTGAAATCTGATTCAAAATAGCCCTGGGACATTAGACTTGTTCCTTAGAAAAATTGCATCTGAAATTTTTTATTACGATTTATTCCCAAAACTGCGTTTTGTATAATACAGAAACATAAATTACAGGTCGGGTTGTCCTCATGTGGTTGGAATTATCATCATTATTAGGCTTTTTCTGTCGAAAAACTCCAATTGAGATTTTTCGGTAGATAAACAGTCTAATATTCCTGGGCTATTACGGAGCGGAATTTTGAATGTATGCCACGAAGATGATAATAATAGTGAGGCAATTTTTGTTCATACCAAATTGCACAGTCCGATATCAGAGCACATTTTTTTGTTGTTTAAATATTTCAAACATATGGGAGCTGAAAAATTGGAAATGCAGATATAAAGAGAAGTCTCAAACCTCAGTGACCTTGCCTCTATGGTAAACGTGCTGAAATCTGATTCAAAATAGTCCAGGAGTACTAGACTTGTTCTGAACAAAAATTGCATCTGAAATTTTTTATTACGATTTGTTTCCAAAACTGCGTTTTTATAATACAGAAACATAAATTACAGGTCGGATTGTCTTCATGCGGTTGGGGTTCTTATTGTTGTTATGCTTTTTCTGTCGAAAAACGCCAGTTGAGATTTTTCGTCAGAAAAATAGTCTAATATTCCTGGGCTATTCCGGAGCGGAATTTTGAATGTATGCCGCGAAGATAATAATAATGAGGCAATTTTTGTTCATACCAAATTGCACAGCCCAATTTCATAGCACATTCTTTTGTTGCTTAAATACGAGATTTCAAACATATGGGGCTGAAAAATTGGAAAGCACATATAAAGAGAAGACACAAACCGCAGTGACCTTGCCTCTATGGCAAACATGCTGAAATCTGATTCAAAATAGCCCAGGGACATTAGACTTGTTCCATAGAAAAATTGCATCTGAAATTTTTGATTACGATTTATTCCCAAAACTGCGTTTTGTATAATACAGAAACATAAATTACAGGTCGGATTATCCTCATGCGGTTGGAATATTCATTATTATTAGTCTTTTTCTGTCGAAAACGCCAGTTGAAATTTTTAGGTAGAAAAAGTGTCTAATATTCCTGGGTTATTCCGAATCGGAATTTTTTATGTGTGTCGCGATAGTCCAGGGACATTAGACTTGTTCCGTATAAAAAAATGCATCTGAAATTTTTTATTACGATTTATTTCCAAAACTATTTTTTGTATAATACAGAAACATAAATTACAGGTCGGATTATCCTCATGCGGTTGGAATATTCACTATTATTAGTCTTTTTCTGTCGAAAAACGCCAGTTGAAATTTTTAGGTAGAAAAAGTGTCTAATATTCCTGGGTTATTCCGAATCGGAATTTTATGTGTGTCGCGATAGTCCAGGGACATTAGACTTGTTCCGTAGAAAAATGTATCTGAATTTTTTTATTACGGTTTATTTCCAAAACTACTTTTTGTATAATACAGAAACATAAATTACAGGTCGGATTATCCTCATGCGGTTGGAATATTCATTATTATTAGTCTTTTTCTGTCGAAAAACGCCAGTTGAAATGTTTAGGTAGAAAAAGAGTCTAATATTCCTGGGCTATTCCAAATCGGAATTTTTTATGTGTGTCGCGATAGTCCAGGGACATTAGACTTGTTCCGTAGAAAAATTGCATCTGAAATTTTTTATTGCGGTTTATGTCCAAACCTGCGTTTAGTATCATACTTAACAGTGTGGTGTAGGTTAGACCTTACCTATTATAGCTGGTATTTTTCGAAGTATTTAGACTAGAATTGACTGGACTGGAACTAGAATATCTATTCGTTGGACTCGTTCTAAACGTCGAATTTGGACTGGCGTTGGGCGGTTTTGACTTTCTTTGGGTTCCGACTCGCATTATGAACGGAGAACCCTTCACGTCGTATCCGTTGAAGTACACATATAACTGAAATGAAAACGTAACAATTGAAAATTACCGAGAAAACCATTAACCTTACCCTATGTTTTCCAGCTTCTTTCGCCGTGAACCTGACCCTGTACCTCCACTCGTCAACCTTCTCCACGTGACTCCTTATGGACCTCTTGTCCCTCACTACATCCGCTGTGACCTCTCCAGGTACGCCACAAGCATGACAGTCGAGGTCCACCACGTGAGGTACCAGAGGCAAAGCGCCCTCTAGGCCGGTAACTCGTACGCCGCTGGGGTCGAAGACAGAACACGTGAATGGGCCACCCTGTAGAAGAAATTAGTATTGAACAGTATGCCTCGAATAACAAAGTTAATAAAATGAGTGAAATTTATTACTTATTTCAAAGCTAATACCTTGAGCAATAAGTTGGTTACGGAAACAAATATTTTATCAAATATTTTCTCACACTATCTTTACCATACACTATTATGGCAGGTGATTGGAAATTTTTCAGAATTTTTCCTTTGAGTAGCCCTAAGCTTCATTCAAATGCCTTCCTGAAGGCAACCTGATCTCTGATTTGGACTTAACGACCGCATAAACCTATATAACGCGCGTCTGATGTCAAATGATTGACTTATTTTGAGTTTGCCCTTGAAGTGACCTTGAAATGACCTCCAAATGCACTTATAGTGACTAACTGACCTCTGAGTCGGACTTACTGGACAGAAAAACCTGAATGACATGCTGCTGGGATCAGCTGCTCAGCTTCTTTTGAAAATGCCCTTGATATGACCTTCAGATGATGTCATAGAACCCCAGATTTGAAATCAGCGTCCCAAAGAAACCGTATTGTACTGGAAATCGTGTAAACGTCGTATAAATATGTTTGAGCGAGCTTTAGGCATACCTGTATTTGTTTGCCTTGATACGTTATCTCTATCCTCCATTCCCCAGCTTCGTCTGGCTTGAACGTAGCACTGTTAGTTCCGTCGATAACCGTCAAAGGACAATTGACAGGTCTTCCGGATGGACTGTAAGCTGTCACTAGGATGTCCTCTCTTCTTGGAGCACCTTGAAGAAGACGTAGAGCAAACTCGAATCACGAAATCGGTATCAAAACATAATAATAATTTAGTGGAAGTGATCACTCTTGAATCTTCAAATCAGCATCAGTGACGTCACTCCTGTTTATGGCAAGATGCTTGAGGTCAACAATTAAGACAGCTGTATTAGCCGTCATAGGATCAGCTAACGCCCCGGTTTCTCATTCATAAGTTAACTGCAATTTGTCTGCTAATCAGACGTAAACTTTCAAAAAGGGTTTTGCAATAACAAGTTTTGTCCTAATTCAGACATAAAAGCAGCGTTGCTGCGTCAACGGCTTATCAATTGTTAACTACAACTTGAAAAACGAATGCACAGACATCTGTTGGTCAACTTCCAATTCATAGTTACCTGAACTAGAGATCTGACAGTGATTTGGCTTCGGTAATAACAGATAACAGGAGAGACGTCACCATAACTGTAGATCCGCTTTCGCGGGAAAACTTAAACTCTCAGTTTAAGATCATTTATATATATCAGGAAGACGATGGGGCCGAAACCGACCCTTGGGGGACGCCATCCTCCTTCCTACTAGGAACCTTGACTATCTATAATCTTAAAATATTTAAATTTATAGGACTGTACTGAACTCATGATTTTGGAAACTGTTTAATATTTCATAGTCCTAGGCTCAATATTCTCACCGAAGTGTTCCTGAAATCATACCGTACTTACCAGTAGCGTTGACTAGCACCTGTACCAAAGAGCCGAGCGCACACGGCGCCATTCCTGGCGGTGCCACCTCGACTAAAGGCGGTAGTACCCTGAAGAAATGTCCTCCTTGGGCCTCTTGTCCGTCGTACTTGACGACCAGCTCGTGCATGCCAGGCTTGGACGGCACGAAACTCCCGCGTCCTTGACGCAGATCGCGAACTTGGTACGTTTTCTGGTCTGAAGCGCGTACTTCCACGGACAAGGAGGAGTAGGATAACGAGGAGTCCAACAGGGTCACTTGGAAGTGTGTCTGGAAGAAATAAAGAAATTAAGTCAAGTATCTTTTCTCTGTACTTTGCGCATTTTCGTTTGACTACTGATATAACCTTATACCAAAATATTGAGTCAAAGCTTATGTGAAATCAAAAGCTCTGCATCTCAAATTAAATACATCTACGATACTCCTGATTCAATGGCAAATGTATATGGAAAATATAGTTATGTCAAACAGGTATGTAGTATTGCCGTAATCATACGGTTCGTAATTATAGAATAAGCATTAGTTTCTGAAACGTAGACAAAAGAAGCCCCAGCGATTTCTTTTTTCGTTTTGTGTTCCTGGTACCGCCACTGGATTGATTTTAAAAACTTACTTAGTTTTATCATCTCTAAAATAGCTGTAATCTCATTTGAAAATTTCATCAAAATCCGAGTGGTACTTTTCCAGTTGTACCGGGTGTCAAATTCGACCTTAATTTCGTTAAATGCCTTAAGCTTAATAAGGGTGAATGCTAAAATTGACTTAAATTTCATAAGCGTAATAACTATATGGTAAATCTGACTCAAATTTCGTCAAATGTTGTAAGGTTAATAAGGTAAGTATGTCTTAAATTTCGTTAAACGTCATACGCTTAATAAGACTGTATGGTAAATTTACCTAAACTTCGTCAAATGCTGTAAGCTTAATAAGGCTATATTGTAAATTTGTCTCAAATTTCGTTAAAACGCTTGAAGCTTAATAAGGTAAACTTGAGTTAAATTTCGTTAAATGTCGTAAGCTTCATATGACTGTATGGTAAATTTGACTTAAACTTCGTTAAATGCTGTAAGCCTAATAAAGCTATATGGTAAATTTAACTCAACAAGTTTCGACAAATGATGTAAACTTAATAAGGCCATATATGTAAATTTAATACAAATTTTATCAAATGTCATGGGCTTAATAAGGCTATATGGTAAATTTTACTCAAATTTCGTCAATTGCTTTAAACTTAATAATGTAAACTTGACTTAAATTCCGTTAAATGCCATAAGCTTCATAAGGCTGTATGGTAAATTTGATTTAAACTTCGTCAAATGCGTTAAGCTGAATAAAGCTATATAGTAAATTTCACTCAACAAGTTTCGTCAAATTCTGTAAGCTTAATACGGCTATATTGTAAATTTGACTCAAATTTCGTTAAAACGCTTGAAGCTTAATAAGGTAAACTTGACTTAAATTTCGTTAAATTTCGTAAGCTTCATATGACTGTATGGTAAATTTGAGTTAAACTTCGTTAAATGCTGTAAGCCTAATAAAGCTATATGGTAAATTTAACTCAACAAGTTTCAACAAATGATGTAAACTTAATAAGGCCATATATGTAAATTTAATACAAATTTTATCAAATGTCATGGGCTTAATAAGGCTATATGGTAAATTTTACTCAAATTTCGTCAATTGCTTTAAACTTAATAATGTAAACTTGACTTAAATTCCGTTAAATGTCATAAACTTCATAAGGCTGTATGGTAAATTTGACTTAAACTTCGTCAAATGCGTTAAGCTTAATAAAGCTATACAGTAAATTTCACTCAACAAGTTTCGTCAAATGCTGTAAGCTTAATAAGGCTATATTGTAAATTTGTCTCAAATTTCGTTAAAACGCTTGAAGCTTAATAAGGTAAACTTGACTTAAATTTCGTTAAATGTCGTAAGCTTCATATGACTGTATGGTAAATTTGACTTAAACTTCGTTAAATGCTGTAAGCCTAATAAAGCTATACGGTAAATTTAACTCAACATGTTTCGACAAATGATGTAAACTTAATAAGGCCATATTATGTAAATTTGATACAAATTTTATCAAACGTCATAAGCTTAATGCTTAAGCCTATATGGTAAATTTGACTCAAATTTCGTCAATTGCTTTAAGCTTAATAAGGTAAACCTTACTTAAATTTCGTTAAATGTCATAAGCTTCATAAGGCTGTATAGTAAATTTGACTTAACAAGTTTCGCCAAAGGCTGTAAGCTTAATAAGACCATATATGTAAATTTGATACAAATTTTATAAAATGTCATGAGCTTAATAAGGCAATATGGTGAATTTGACTTTAATTTCGTCAATTGCTTTAAGCTTAATAAGGAAAACTTGACTTAAATTTCGTTAAATGTCATAAGCTTCATAAGGCTGTATGGTAAATTTGACTTAAACTTCGTCAAATGCGTTAAGCTTAATAAAGCTATAGTAAATTTGACTCAACAAGTTTCGTCCAATGCTGTAAGCTTAATAAGCCCATGTATGTAAATTTGATACAAATTTTATCAAATGTCATAAATATCAAATGTAATAAGCCTATATGGTAAATTTGACTTAAATTCCGGCAATTGCTTTAAGCTTAATAAGGTAAACTTGACTTAAATTTCGTTAAATGCCATAAGCTTCATAAGGCTGTATGGTAAATTTGACTTAAACTTCGTCAAATGCGTTAAGCTTAATAAAGCTGTATAGTAAATTTCACTCAACAAGTTTCGTCAAATTATGTAAGCTTAATAAGGCTCAATTGACTCTAATTTTTACAATTGCTTTAAGCTTAATAAGGTAATCTTGACTTAAATTTCGTTAAATGTCATAAGCTTCATAAGGCTGTATGGTAAATTTGACTTAAACTTCGTTAAGTGCTGTAAGCCTAATAAAGCTATATGGTAAATTTGACTCAACAAATTTCGTCAAATGCTGTAAACTTAATAAGGCTATCTGGTCAGTCTGACTAAAAGTTCGTCAAATGCAGTAAGCTTAATAAGACTGTATAGTAAATTTGACATGAATTTCGTCAAGTACCATAATGAATTTGACTCAAATTTCGTCAAACGATATGAGCTCAATAAGGCTATATGACAAATCTGCCTAAAATCTCGTCAAATGATATAAGCTTAATAAGGCTGATTAGTAAATTTGACTCAAATTTCATGGAATACCACAATGAATTTGAGTCAAATTTTGTTAAGCATTGTGAGCTGATTGAGGATATATGGTAAATCTGACAAAAATTTAGTCAAATGCTGTAAGCTTAATAAGACTGTATAGTTAATTTAACTCAAATTTCGTCAAATGCTGTAAGCTTAATAAGGCTATATGGTAAGTTTTTCTCCAATTTCATATAGTCTTATTGAGATATGCCTTATTGGACTGTTGTACAAATGAATAGAGTTTCTAATTCTGATTTCAAAAATATATAATATTTCATACATGGGCATTGCCAAGCCTTACTTATTTCAAAAAACAAAAAAAATAGAATTTCCTGGGTAGGCCGTGAAATGGTCAGACAGTCATTTGTTTCGTATACCGGACGTGTTTCTCTACAGGGAGGCGTTATCAAATTGTCAATTGGATGTTTCTGCTTTGTTTTTTTTTTATGGACTCCATATAACATTCATTTTTTTGTCACTATAAATTAAACATATTTAATTAAAATTATATACCCTTAGTAGTATTTATATGTACAAAATTCCGATAATAGCGTCTATATGAATAAACAAAATTGGCGATAGAAGTCGAAAAAAGGAACATCAAACTGAAAATTTGACTATGCCACCTTGTAGAGCAGAAAAGGTGGCAATGACAATATGCAATTCACTTTGAAAGCTCATCTCAAATAGTCAGAAGAAATGGAAATGACTTTTCACTCTGAATTGCTGCATATGGAGTGCTGTCATCGGCAAAGCCGTGAATCGGATTCATATTATGAGAAAGTTGGCCCTTAACATGTAATAGACATATTTTTGGGGTCAAGACCGATCCCTCGGAAATACCCGCATTGATATTGGGGGAAGTGAGCTATGATGTTTCATAGTAGCATTTTAGCTTACCTTTGGTTTTCTGAAACGAACTAGTACAACATATCACGAACTGCACAATTTGAAACGCGCACTATTTAACCAAATCACGACGACTGCACGTTAGTAATTAACAATCACGAGAAGGTACAATTCGCGGTGCTAGTAAATAAAAAGTAGAAAGTACCAAGTCCATCAAATAGTGTCTCAGAGGGGACAATGGTAAGTCTGTAAGTGATTTCCTCTGTACTGCGGGTGTCGATAAATTGTTGCACGGATATGCTGGCTTTTGCATAGATTTAACGCGGCTGCAAGTCAATCATATCATATAGCACAGTCACTATAGTGAGGCGTCTGATAAGAATGGTCTAATGAAACTTGAAAAGATTACTATAACCGGCCGCGTGGTTGTGGTTAGATGACACCTTGAATGCTGGAGGTCTTCTGGATATTATACCACAATCAGCAAGTTGACTCTTGTTAGTGATATCGTGTGTCGTTTTTTCCTCTCCACCTTCGTTTCCTCAGGTTGCACCCCCATACCCGGCTATATGGACATGTGTGTCTACTTCTGTAGTGACATATGTGCATTTATTTCTGTTATTATTTGAAAAATCTAACTTTGATTCCAGGAGCGTTCTTATCATCTGTTGCAGATATAAACAGAATTAAGTTCCTTTCAGCCTTAGCAATGCTGCCACTATATATTCATTAAATGTATGACTAAAACTGTTCAACTGACAAAAAATTATAAACACCTACATCGTGATATAAATGCTAGATGAAGTGAAGAACCTACCACGCATCATTTTTACCTTTTTAATCATAAATACTTAGTCATAAAACAGCAATAATTTTCACAAATTAATTTTTATACAACCTTTTCGAGAACCCTTTATTGACGATAATGATAATTATGTTGCGAATAATGTGGCACAGACATCAATATACAGGGTGTCCCAATATTTCGTGGACAGAGAAATACCACATATGTTTAGACTCAAAATTGGTCGACTGGACAAGATTTTTTTCATTGAAAAGATCCTTTTCACTTCTTTTTTGTCTCTCATCGCGCATAGTTTTCGCGAAATGAAATATTTTTCGGAGCTGGTTTCTCTTTTAGTGTTTAATTTTTTTGCGCCATATTGTTATGTGCAGGAACGAAAACGATGGTCATATTTAACAGCTTTTATGACAGATTCGCACTATAT